TGGCGCAAACTTGGCTCACTGCAGCCTTGACCTCCCAGGCTTAGGTGATCCTCCCACCTCAGTCTCCTGAGTAGTTGGAACTACAGGCATGTATCACCATGCTCAGCTAAGTTTTTGTATTTTTAGTAGAGACGGGGTTTTGCCATTTTTCCCAGACTGGTCTCGAACACCTGTACTAAAGGGATCCTCCAGCCATGGTTTCCCAGGGTGCTGAGATTACAGGCATGAGCCACTATTACCTGACCCTTTTGTTATATATCTTGAAAAATGTCACAAAAATGATGTGTTTACAAATTGAAGGAAGATTGAAATATATTTATCTTTCTACTTAGCCCAGTGTCGTATTTGTATTTGGGAAGGAACCTTGCATTGTTTCAAGGAACTTACTCATTTTTTGTTTTGATGGGAAAATAGATGCCTACAGTCATCTGCGTGTGGGGATGGCTGTCTTCTGTGACTGACTAGTTGGCTGTGGTCAGACATTGTCTCTGTGTCTGAACTTGGCTTTGGTCCTCACCATGGGGGAGTTAGAGATACAAATAAAACTGTTAAGAACATGGCTGTTGTTTCTTGCCATTTTCCCATAGAGTTTCAACTACTGTCACTCAAAGTCTCGTTCAGTTACTTTCTGAGATCCTAATAGCACTAATTCTAATCAGACAATCATCTCTAGTCATTTCTTGCTTTTCCTTTAGTACCTGGCATATCATGAGCCTAAGGTGCAAAGATAATGTGAACAAGCACTTAATCTTTCTTGTGAAGGGGCACTTTTCTCATGTCACTGTACTCATAAATTCTGTCTCACTGCAGATTGAAATCACAGAAGATATTCATGTTCTTCTTAAGAGAAAAAGAGGACATTTGTAAGTATTTGTCCTTTAGAAATTCTAAATATGTAATTTTATTAGCTTTTTGACAATTAAGTGACCATACTAATAGGCATCTTGACTCTTTTTATAGAGGAAAAACTCTACCAATATTTATGATTGTGTTTTAAAAGGCACTATTTTATAAAGCAAATAGGAAAACATTTTACCCTGTGCAGCTTCTAAAATTTAAACAATTTGCCAATCATTTGTAAAAGAGCAAGTGGTAATTAAAATTCAAACACAATCTTTCTATTTGAGTCATACCCAAAACTGGAGTCAGAGATTGGAGTTCCAGTTCTGACTACTGAGGCTTATAGAACATGTGTCTTTGGCAAGCTACTTAGTCTCTCATTATCTCAGTTTCCTTATCTTTAAAATGAGTTTAATAATAAGTACACAGGGGCTGAGCGTGGTGGCTCATGCCTGTAATCCCAGCACTTTGGGAGGCTGAGGCAGGTGGATCACAAGGTCAGGAGTTCAAGACCAGCCTGGCCAAGATGGTGAAACCCCGTCTCTACTAAAAATATAAAAATTAGGCCGGGCGCGGTGGCTCAAGCCTGTAATCCCAGCACTTTGGGAGGCCGAGGCAGGTGGATCACGAGGTCAAGAG